AGCAAGTTAGTATTCTTTTTTAAATAAGTCTGAGCTGATTCTTCCTCCCTCCTCCCACAAATGGAATCCCTGATCTGTTTCTGCTGACTTACAAGCTGCCCATGATCTTGCTGCTTATTTTGCAGGGTGTTGCATGGATTATCTCTCTCTCTCTCTAGATAGGTATATAGATATATAAAAAAACTTTTCCCGTGGAATGACAGAGTGACATCATCACATCCCTCTGCATCCCACAGCCCGTCTCTCCTCCCTCAGCTGCCCTGTCTCCTCTTTACCCAGTACTCTGATGGGCTGGAGCCACGCAGCCTCTCCCCACCCCTGTACCAGGGGTTTGGGAGCCATATGACCTCCCTCCGGTGGTGACCCCCACAAATTTCTCTATTCTTTCCACACTTTAGGGACACACACCTTTACCCAGTTCCTAGGGCTCAAGGTGCAACCCTGTTAATTTAAACACCCTCCCCTTACCTAATTCCTAGGGCTCCGGGTGTAACTTCCTGTGGGTTTGCAGGATCTTTTGCCACTGAAAGAGCCCTTACACAGTAATATTCTTATTCTCTATTTATTGACAATTTCTAAGCAAGCAGAATACACATGGTAAGCACATAGTGTCGTGTTCACTAATCCTGATAAACAGGGCTCGCCGAACCACGGTGAGCCCCACTCGCTAGCTGCGCTGTCCGGCAATCTGCGCATGCGCAGATCTCTGGAACCCAGCCCTGCTGATAAAGACAGGCAGACTTCCCCTGTTGGCCAGGCAAGGTCAGTCTCGGTGGATCTTAGCTGCTGCACATCACAGTCATGCAGAGGAGTCCTGATAGCTCTGGTCTTAGGCTGTGTCTTGGAGGTGAGTTCTTCTTCCAGGTCTTCCCTCCTTCTTCTTGGCGTTCTTTTCTTCCTTTCCCTTTTCCTTCTTTCTTCTTCCTGCTTTTCCCCTTCTTCTTCTTCTTCTTCTTCTTCTTCTTGGACCACAGTTTATATAGTGAAACTTGAGTCCTGCTTAGCAATACCTTAACCAATTATTTTAATATAATTTTACTAACCAATCATAATGTTGACCCCAACAATAACATACTGTAACAGAATTACCTAACCAATCATACTCCACCAACTTGATTGATTTACACCTAGCAAAATTAATTATACAGCAGACAGAAACAGTTACTAACCCGATAGAGATCACACAGACAAAAAAATAGAAAAGTGGGGACAATAATCATAGAATAAGGATTCCAGTTTCTTGCCAGATGCAATGTTATTAACTAAGTTTTCTCTACCTATCTTGATATCTATTTCTTTATCTGGTGATAGTGGGTGCTTGTTAGAACAAGGTCTCCTTCTCACAGCCTGGTGTGACACTATTTTAATGCAATGTAGATGGAATGTGAGTATGACTCCAGGCTTTACAGTTAATGGCTGCTGCTCTTCAGTCTGGCTGCAGAAGAAGGCTTTGGTTTAGGCCTTCCAATATGACTATAGAAAAATCATATTGTTACAGTGAGTAGGGGTGGAGGGCAGGAGCCATGTGCCCTCCCCCTTCGCAGGGAACTGGTCATGTATGTTTCAACGTTTCTTGGCTTATGCTTGTTTTCCCAAGGTGTATTCATCATCTGCATTCTGTAACCAAAGCAGTTACCTGGGATATGCTAGAATAAACATGTGTGTTATTTGCTTTTTCCAGGCCAATAAACTAAGAACAAAAACTTTGCGAAACACCCTGAATCCCACCTGGAATGAGACCCTCACTTACTATGGCATCACGGATGAGGATATGATTCGCAAGACACTAAGGTAAGTGTAACCCTGGGGACATCTAATGGAGATGCAGGTGGAGAGGGTCATATGCAATGTTCGCTCTAGTCTTTTTCATCCATGTGTAAATTTTTCCCATTGTCATTAGTTAACATTCATGGTTACACACAGGCTCCTGATATGCGTGGGGAGCTGCCTGCCCTCCCACTCCCAGCACTGCTTCCTCTGTATCAGAAACAGCAGTTATGAGAGGACAGGAGGGAGCTGGGCCTGCTGCCCCACTTATAACTATGTAACCCCTGAAATTTTTAGCAGTTACACAGTTACTTAAATGCATTTTAACATCCATAGAGGATGCTCTACTCATCAGCTGGGTGGCATTTGAATCTCTCCTGAGTGGCTGCACAGGAACGCAGCTTAGATGGAACACTGGTCGTATAGCTCATTATTTGGAAAGAAAGCTTTAGTTGTACTAACTGGATCCATGTGTGGAAAGGGAGAGAACATATGCAATTTGTTGAAAGGGAAAGTCAGTGAAATCCCCACTCCATACTCTGCACGGGTGCGAATAGCCAAAGTGCAGCATTCCAGAAAATCCGGCCCTCTGTATTTCAGCTAAATCTGAGCACCTTCACTCAGACACATCCTGAATTGCACCAACATCCCCACCAATTGAGAATAGATGTGATATGTTCATCGCAATCACCAGACACACAGCTTTAGTTGCATAAAATCTTTGCAAGCAGGCATGGCTGGGATGCTCAAAAGAGCTGAAGGGAGGTAAGTGCCCAGCTCTCATTGAAATTAATTGGAAGCTAAACACTTTTCTTCAGGCTTCTTTGAAATTGCCAGCCCATGTAGCTAGCAAATCTGTCAGGCTATCCTAGGCCTGGGAAGTGTTTATCACAGAATATCAATAATTAGGTACAACACAGATCTTTCCTTTTGGCCTGTATCAAGCAGTCACCTGTGCTCTTCAGATAGGAATCCTGATAGGGCATTTATAGCTCGTTCTCCCTAGCAGATCGAGACAATAATTATTTCCCAAGGTCCCTCATTTGCACACTTCTCCTGCAGGGATCAATCACAGCCTTTTGGTGACAGACATTTGATTTATAAGCTGCCTGGATTTGAATAGCTGATGAAGAGCCCTATAGCAATTCATCATTATAAGCTTTGTAATTTATCAACTTGGGGTTTGAGCTGCAATTTTTTTAACCTTATAATTCCTAAAGCTGCTAAACATACCTTATTTACTGCGTCTTGCTGAGTTGCAGATCTCTCTTTGAAGATTAGTTTTGGAGGAGGGCAGAAATGCATCTGTACATTGCTGTAAAACTAAATGGAACTTGGTTTAACTTGGCAAAAATATAAAGAATCTGATATCTTACAAGCAAAGCCATGTCTTGTCTGGTCAGTGCTTTGATGGGAGACCTGCAGTGAATGTTGCAGAGATTGATGGGAGTATTTCTGTAGATAAGATTCCTTCTTTTGAACCTAGCATGGCACCAGCAATGCAAAAACGTTGCCTTTCCAATAGGATGCAAAACTGAAGTACCTTTAACCACACTCAGATGTTTGCCTCAGATTCTTGGCTAGTTTCCAGTTTGGGATATCTACCTGCTACCTAACCACATCCTCTCACTTCAACTGGCTCTTCACTGGGACCCACTTATTTAACGCTTGCTCTTGCTAGTAGGACTTCATCCAAAGGCAGTTGAAATGGATGGAGAGAATACTATTAACCTTTAGCTCTGGCCTTTTAAACAGTTGCAGTGCTCAGCTCCAGTGGTGAGTGTATTGAATCCTTATGTATATGATCTGTAAATCTCTTTGATCTCACTAGTGCCTCCATGTAGAAGGAAATCGATGTTAGATGTATTAAAATAAAGACGGATTTTGCATATCACATCTAGGATTGAGAGCTTTCTAGCATCTTGGCTGAAATCTAAACGTCTTTACTTAAAATATATGCTGCAACTGTATTTTTTCATGGAAGCAATGAAAACATAACACTGTAATATAAAGTTATATAATAGTAGGTGAATTTGCACTCTGAGCTCACCTGTCATTCATAACTCACGTACATGATGAGAAATTTATCTCCCTGGATTATTATTTCACATGGAAAATATTAGTCATGCTGAAAGTGCTGTGGGCTTCTCTCAGGCTGGAAAGCCTGTGTTTTATTATTTTTTATCCTCCATGCCTTTGAAGTTTTCATCTAGTTCAAGTGTGAAAATCGGTTTATAGAAAGATGCCTGGCTGAGTTGTTTGTTGAAATGCACTCTGGAGAAAAAGTGTTTTGGATCCAGACTCCACCTTTCTATCAGCTCTCTTAATTGTTACTTGCTGAGGAAATGCCATCTGGCCAGTTCCACTGGGGTAGCATGATCATCTCTTGGGACCACACAGGTGCAGTGGAGGAATGGAGCCTCTGTGTTTGAAAGAGTTTTTAATCTCTCTGTTCTCCTCCTAATAGAATTATAATTCCCAGTATGTCCCTGATCTTGGATCAGACACAGCTGTCGTCGTCTTCATCAGCTGGTGGTGTGTTGGCTGGTGGTGCACTCCTCCGAGGCTGCGACTGTCTTTGTTCTGCATTCCTATAGCCTCTTGAGTCTACCACAGTAGAGTCCTGGTACATGATAGGAGTTTTGTCCTCTATGGCAATATAAATAATTATTGGTAATAATGGCTGACAGAAAGGAATATCTTTCTCCTTCCTTTGCTCTCTGGCTTTCCTCAGCAAAGGTCAAGAGCCCCAGTTTTCATTTCACAAAGAGAAAACAGTTTCTTGCCACTTTAACCAGAAAGGACACTCTCTAAATGACTTAGCCACCTGCATTCTGCTACAAAGACCTTTTACATCTGCACTTGAAAGGGAATCCTCTGAACTGTCATTCATGTTAAAATTCGACACTTGCCAACAAGGACTTAACAAGTCTTTGAACTTTCTCACCCATTACCAAGACAGTTTCCCCAATTATCACCTGTAATACCATTAACTCACAAACATCCCACTCTCCCTACCTTTAATATCAGCAATTCACAGACACTTACCTTCCTTCCTCCCCCTTCCCACCCCCCCGCATCCCCCTTCTGTTCTGCAATGTGATTTGTCCTTTTCATATTTGTTCATTTTTTTTAATTGTATCCTTTGGTATATATGGTTGTGACTACTTTCTTCCACTATTTGATCTGAGGAAGTGGGTCTGGCCCACGAAAGCTCATCATCTAATAAACCATCTTGTTAGTCTTTAAAGTGCTACATTGTCCTGCATTTTGCTTCAACTACCCCAGACTAACACGGCTACATTTCTATCAGTTTTCATTTGTGAGAATGGGCTTTGTTACAGGTTCCTGCAGGATTGAACTATGCTCTCCATTCCAGGAGTGTGGAAGCAGGGACACTGTGGAGAATTTGAACCATTAAGGTGAGATGTTTTGGGAAAAGACTAGGGATTTCAGTGGTTAACCAGCAGCCCAGCTAAGCTGGAGCAGCCCCTTGTCTCAGCAGCAGCATCAGGGAGGGAAGTGGGGAGAGGCGGCTCTGCAGGATCCGGTGCTCATGGGAAGCCAGATTAAAAACTGATTCCCCATGGGCAGTGGATCCCGCCTCCCTCCTTTGTTGCCTCTGTGTCAGAAGCAGCAAGGGAGAGAATTGTGTGTACTCATTTGGATTAACTGATAAACCGAGGTTTATCAGTTATTTGTTTAAATGATTATATGCTCACATCCCTAGCATACAGGTAACTGTATGTCTAAGGGACATGGACACTAATGTCAATTAAAATTATTGGGAATTCAATGTCCAAATCCCCAAAGCAGTTGTAAAACCCCTCGATTATCACCAGTAAACATCTCTGTTCCTAAGGTGATTGTTCTAACCACAGGAAAAATAAAAATGTCCTCTCTATTGGCTCCTTTTAAAATAAATTATCTACATCACCTAATATGAAAGTAGCCATGGTTCTTTGAAAGGTAAGTGAAGGTCACCAATAACCAACCTCTCTTCATTTATAGTCTCCATTAATAGGCAGTAATATTAATAACCTTTAACATCCCAACATCACCAAAGTGTTTTATAAACATTAATGATAGTAAATCATTATCAACTGTCCTCTGGCCCCCAGAAAGATTGGTTTAAAACGGATTCTCAAACCTGGACAAAAAGGGAGAGCTTTTGGAAATGTCAAAAAGTTTTGTTTGATACCTTCTAACCAAACTGTTTCAATATTTTATTTCAAATCAACATTTTGGTTTTGCAAAATGTCTGTTCAGAACAGTTTGGTTTTGGGTTTTTCATTTCAGTGAGAAAAATCGTGACAGGGAACAGTTTGTTAGAAATTATTTTTTTCCAGATTTTTTCTATTTGAACTCAGTTATCTTCCGTTCAGATTGTTAGCTCAAGTGTTTTGCTTTTAAAAAATGGCTTTTTTTTTTAACTGGAGGCCCTGTAACTGAGTAAGTGTTGAGTCATGGGTTCTGGATGCTGAATTATTTTTGTTTATCTCTAGAATAGGGTATAAAAAAGGCTGTTGGAGTTTCCTCATGTTGTCCTCATGAGAGGACCACTTCTAAGTGTGAGAAGAGAGTTAATTCTCCAAAGAGGCCAACAAAAGGTCCAGTTAGTAATAACTTTGTTGCTGAGGGAACACCCAAGTCAGAATTGAAATGACCCCCAGGCAGTATTCCCTGTATGATGAGTCCTTAGGCAGTCACCCAGGAAAAAGTCAAATGCCATCCAGCTGATTAGCAGAGCGCTCACAGCCAGCAGTGTGCGTTTCTACTGGGGATGCACATCTGCACATTCCTCAGTGCACATAATAAAATTTATTCTGCACATGGATGGAAAAATTAAAGAGAACATTGCCCAGAAGTCACCACAAAGCCATCAGATAAGAACGGACAATGTAGCACTTTAAAGACTAACAAGATGGTTTATTAGATGATGAGCTTTCGTGGGCCAGACCCACTTCCTCAGATCAAATAGTGGAAGAAAGTAGTCACAACCATATATACCAAAGGATACAATT